AACATCACGTACACTATTATCATTATATAAAGTATTATTGTCGTATAATTTTTGAACAAATCGTTTAGAAGTGAGCACATCTTCTGGATAAAACGTAAGCTGTTCGTTCATTTTCAAATATTCAGTGAATTTTTGTCATGGTAAAATTTTCTCAAGGACACTTTCAAGTTAGAAAAAGTAATTACTGAGTAAGTAGAAATCATTTATTTCAATCACTGTAGTGTGTAAATTACTTCATTCACTAGGTTGCAATAAAATGACTGCATAACTACAGTATAAATTCCGTATCTGCCGTCTTACGACGGAGTGAAGGTATTTTGACTAGACAATTCCTTTGTATCTACTGAGAGCGATAGACTATATCACGATTTTTAAGTACTCGTGTTTAATGGTTAACATGGTTCTTAGTCGATCATTTTCGCCGTGAGGTTTCAGTATGTTCTAATAATATGCTTTGAAGGAGAATTACAGCAATTCATAAATAAGTAAAAAAAAACTAACGAACTTAAAATCTCGATTTCTGACAAGGGCAGACAAAACATATACATTTCAAAGTCAGGTTTTGTTGCGAAATCGATTAGGATGATAAACTTTTTTAATCTCTCTTTTAGTACGAAATTTAAATCGCTTTTCTACAACTTCGGGACAGTTTTAGAGCCATTACTACTATATATCCTAGGCAAAGTTGACACGCATTAGTTATGTATTTCTTGTAGAGATTAAAACATGGCGGCTGCACAAGCAAAGATGTACATTTATTTATGTTTCTTCAGTAACCACAGAATGGTCATGAGTAATCATAAATTTAAGGGGTTACTAATTCATAGTTACACATGGCTTTTCGGTCAGTATTTACAGAGATCCTTTCGTTTAAGAAGCCATCGATTGTGAACTACGTTGTTCCATTACAATTTTCCATAATCTTATCTCAAGTGTTTGTCCCGAAACTAATCAGTGAAGAAGTCATGGACGGTAATATTTGAAGATACACTTGGACTTTAGGTTGGTGTAAAACCTTCTATGCAATACGAGATGGCAAGTTGTCGTCAAATTTCCCTAACATGGCCTAACCAAACGTAATCTGGTGCGGATTCTTGATCAAGAAGTAAGATGCACAGTGAGGATGTCACAGGTATTCAGTGTTTGACAACGCTTTTACCAGCAACACTTTCTAATATAATTTCTACCCACCAAGAGAAATCAAACGACAGAGTCGAGGAGATCGGAAGAGTGTATTTGGCGATTACCAATATATCGGAATTCTCTGATCTAATCTGGCTAGCGATTGCGGTAGATGTTGAGCACAGCGTTACCACACGTGATCTGGTGCGGATGCCTGACCGAGCGCCTTCAGCTAGATGAGTCCACTGAAACATATGGTCAGCATCCAATATCGAAGACTTACAGAGCTATTTATTTTGGGGATCTATTTAGGATGGACTATTTCTCGTAGATCCCTTACCAGTAAGAACAACACCTTTTACTGTTTGTTGAATTTATTTTTCGTACCAATGGTGTTTGCCAGGCAGGCTGATGTCCGGTGTGGTGTGATTCTTGAGAGTGTAGTAATGCAGTGAAAAAATTCGGGCACAAACTGGCGTTCTCGGCTTGTAGTAATGTCTCCATAGTGTGGGATTTTCTATACACAATAGAATGGAGAGCATCCAACTGACTACGGAAAGGACCTTATCAAATCGAAAGAAACGTGTTCAAAACGAGCGTCATGAGTAATGAGAAAGTTCAGTGAGTCATTTGTTATGTCTAATTACCATAGATTTCTGGTGGCATACACAGCAGCGTCCTCAGTTCCCCACTCCTTAATTCATACCAAGAAAGCGAAAGTTTTTTCCTATGAGATCAGCGTTTGCTTGAACACCTGTATGTGAAATTTTGTGCAATGTATTAGAAACAATGGGATGTTTCGTTCATGACGAAACATCACAAATGACGTAGTTGTCTCACAGCAAATTTCCACAGCCTACTTTTGTTTGTTTGATTTATAGTCTGATTCATCTAGAATACCGGTGACTTCTAGTTGTCAAGACTCTCGAAGAGAGTTCTTGTCTGAATATTAATTGAAAATAAAGGTAAGATGTCCATAGTTGATAAACGGGGTGAACACCAGGCCTTCCACAGCTTCTAGCTTTTTACTCCACGGTTCTCAGCAAATAGGATCTCATAACCAACCGTGAGATTTTTTTGAAGCATCTCACATATTAAACAATTTTTCGTACTGTTAAGAATCTCATTTCATTTATGCACCATACTAGAAATGTAAATTGCATCATCGAACTTCGTGTTTCTACCAAATAAAATCCAATTTTCGATCGCACCACAGAAACACGTACCCACTGGATGGATCGGTTTAGGCTACAACCCATTCTCTCTAACACATAAAATATTCTTCTCTATGCATGCTATGATAGCAGGATAATCAAATCACCAGATTAGAGTGAGTGGGGCCAGGAAATCGCTAGGCGGCGTGAATTCAACGAAGGTTAGATTATTCAAGAAGTTATCCCACAACAGTTTAACTCAATTGGATGGAGGCTTTCAGACTGACTCAAAGAGCATACACATTGGGACGACGGATACCACCTATATTCCGTTCATTCATATGACAAATCTTAGTTGATATAGTTCCACAATACTTTAAACACTTATATATGTCTTGGTTGGATATTTAAGTTTATAAAGGAATAAAAGACGATATCCAGTACATGTAGCCAATTAAACGAACACTGAAAATTTTAAATCTGCACTCCATTAACTGAGAAAATCAAAATATTAAGTGAAGAACAGAAAGTCAGCTTGTCGGTCTTAATCCCGCTTCAGCCACTAAGTGTTTTGACCAGAGACACAAAAATGGGTCTGACCACTTGGAGTAATCCAGATAGGAGAACTGTCACATATATTGATTACCACAGTAATCTCGTAGCTTTGCACATGGGACCATTGCTTTGGAATCAGAGTCTTCTAACTCCCACAAGTGGATCCGCCAACTCGAATAAATCGCCAAATATTCGCTTTTCGTCCCTTCGATTTCGCAAACAACACTCCCGCCGCGAGAATGCAGTGAGTAGGACTTCCCTAGAAAGGATTGTTTAGTGACTTACTTTTATGAAGAGACTGTGATTGGTATAATGGAAACAACTATTATTATAGCCAACTGTGCCAGTTGTTGTTTCAATGTTTGTCTAAGTGTACCGAAAACTCTCTCGTCATTTGTGGCCTCTCACGAACTTTCGTACCCTCAGTAGACTCGCTTGTAGATTTTAGCATGATCTCGGTATTATTTTGATACCACGAGATCGCCAACAAACACAACTTAACTATAACTTTTAACTGCCTTCTGATTTTCGGCCTACGGAGGGGTACTACCGGTAACTGGCACGTAGACTCCCTGTGGTGGTGACCATAGTCAACTGCGACTCGACACCTACTACAATTGTATGCACGTGGCCATGTGAGAGCATTTCGAGAGGGAGAATCGACTCTCCACTCTCAGCCGTACCAAGGCATTTAGATGCCAAATAAACTATCAAATATAAGTTTCCCGTTTCATTCCTCATATTATACTTAATCTTACGTTGTTTGGTGAATGATGGAAAAAGACCAAATACGAATTAATCTCGGGGAATTCATTCCAAACATTCATTTATTTAGATAGATTACAGTACTCGTAACGTGAAGAAAAGGCTTCTTAGCCTGCTCAATTTAATTAAAACGTAGTTCGACGCTTGCAGTCATGAGACATGCAAGAAAGAACAGACACAAACTAAACAAAGGCATTTTGAGATTCATATATAACGTTTTCCATGGAAATCACCATTTTATTTTTGAACCGAAAGATTTTTCACTTGAACAGCTAAGCAGGACTATGCAGTTTTCTTAGATGACATAATTCTTCAAAGTGAGAATTAAGCAACTAGTTACAATCAATTCGATCAAAAACCAAGTATGTGCACGAGTACGGTTTGTACAAGCTTCCAGAGGCGTTTCATTTCATTTGCTAGTAACAGCTAGACGATTGAGAAAACAACAACACGAATCACTTCAAGTGTAGTCGCTCCTCTGCCATCTTATTACTTTTATTCAAATATTAAATCTTTCCAACCACTCATGTAACCTTGACCACACTGTGTGGATGAGGGTATGTATGAGTCTGCATAATTACTTGCACCTCCTCCATGCTTACATGTGTTCAGTCACGTTCACTCAGAGCGAGTGGGCCCATGTTGATTCGAATCTTTTATCGTGTCTGCATTAATGGATTTATTAAATATATACACACAAAGGCACTTTATTCACTAACCCAGTGTTAATTGAGGAACTATATTTCATAATTTTTCACAAAGGAAATGGGGTCAACGACGAGCGCTAAACAAACCTGAATTTCACTGGGTGTTTGATGTTTTTTCATATCTAATGATTATACCACCCTCGCTTCCATAATAATACACAGACTCGTATTATATCTTGTATTAAGGACAACTGCTAGTGTAAATACAATGAAATAACTGTAATACTATTGTTAGTTGGTATTCTTAATGTAATAAAAGTAAAATGATGTAGATTACTGGACAGACGTACATCATATCTTGTGTTTTAATCTAAGTCGACAAACACCTCATCAACGCAGAAACAGAACTAAATGATGGTTGGTTATATGGCTACAACTATCATTTAACTCCAGTTATATATTGTAAAGCATTACGAAATACGAATTAGAAGCAAAAGAAACCTTTTAGAAGATATAACTATCATATATTATTAGTACTGATGTAGTACGTGAAGCATCAACCAGACACTATTTACAATGGTAAAGCACTTGACGATTGCTCATTAAAATGACAAGTTTGAAGATTTTTTGTGGCCCGAGGATCTGACTCCTATTCAGATCGTACGAATGTTTGTTATCGCCTATTCTCGTATATCATCGTCGACTTAAATCGCATTAGTCAATAACGGAATTAAATAAGTCGAATAACGAGAACTGACTTGAGAATACATATATTTTGTACATGAAGCGAATGGAACATAGCAAAGCAAAATGACAAGCAGGGAAGATGGCTGGGAAGCCAACTCCATTTTAGTCAAGCGTTACTCAATATTTATAGTCAGACAAAATAAAGCTACAGACATGTGATTAATGGGATAAGAAGGGCACACACATATACGCTCATATAAGAACAGTCAAGACTGATAAGCGAATAATTGAAAAGGTCAAAATATGACTTAAGTAGAATGAATAGAATGGAATGTCCGAAAGCTAGAATAAGATATATGGACTTAAAATAATGAATGACACTACAGATTTCCCCAACTGACAATGCGATAGTACTTGAGTGTTGAGTACTTAAAATAACGATAAACAGAACCGGATGAAGATTTATGATAAAAGCAGATTCTAAGCCACTTGGTGTATTTAGAACGATCACATTTGATACAATTGTACAAAGCAAACCTAATTAACTGAGAATGAGTTGTCTGTTTGGTTATTTTGATCGAAAAAATGGTTTACGCAATGATCAATCTAATACAGACTTGTAATTCCTTGTGAATGATCTTTTTGGGACAACATATATTATGGAACAACATTGTTTTCAATCAGATCCCCATCAGGCTTACTCTAATATTCATTAATGTCTAAATGGATATATGGAAATATTAGACTAATCAAGACATTTTATGAGTCAGCGATACACAGTGGAATAGACCATATAAATATACAGAAAGTAAAAATTACAAGTTGTTAATGCTATGACAAAAGGTCTAGTTGTCATAAGAATAATAAGACTTAAGTCAATATTTTATAACAAGAAATAGGTCAACAACTTGGAGATACAGACACTCAAATGAAACTCATTAGAATTACGTGATAAGTACTCAAACAATTATATGTATGAAAAGAGTGAAAATAAACGAACAAAGAGTGTGGAAAATAATATGAAAAAACCGTTTGTTACGGTTCATTCAGCCAAGAAAGAAATATGGGGGGTTGCGAATTGCTTATACACACAAAGACTTGGTTTGTTAGCCTAAATTCATATAGATCTACCTATATGACTCGTCGAGATCGAACCCTGTAAGGAACACTAGTAAGAAAACGATAAATCCCTATAAGTGGTTTGTCTATCTATTACATGACTGTTATCAATTATGTATGACAAAACGCCCGAATCCACATTAAATCACTGCTTGATGGACTGTTTATAAACCAAAAGCCCTAATTTAATCTGTCACACGACCACCACCAACCGAACAGGATAAAACCGATCTACAAATAACCGTTGTTTAACCCTTTTTAAACGAAAAAGTTGCTAGCTATGTAACCTATTAGTAGGCCATGTGTATTTCCCATATATGAACAACTGAGTCACTCTATAAACATTGTGGTAAGACGTTTTTTTTAACAGTTATGATCGGTAAACTAATATGACAAAAGTTGGTCAGATAAAATACTCCTTATATGACCCTGGCTGTATTCATGTACGATATTACTAACTATAATATTTGACAAGTGACATTTTAAACACTGATTAGATCAATACCTGTTTAATACTTAACCTCGACCCCATTCGTTTCATTTTATAGGGGTAGAATGTTAATAACATACACCGTTAACCAATTTGCACACCAACTGTGTACTTGCTTCCCATCATAAACAACCAGAATATCTTGAAACTGTTTTTGTCTACACAAATGATATTTCGAAAATTCAGAGCTTTTTGCCCGCATACAAGCTATTAAAAAAATCATTTATAGGCAACTACCGCAAAGACCTTATACTGTTTCAAGATTTACCCTAGTTGTATTGTTGGGCAAAAATCTATAAAAGTTAGTTTCAATTTATTAGTGGAATGGACAAAACAACAGGTTATAAATGAGAAATAAAAATTATTTACTGGCAAACATGAAACAAACTGCAGAAGTGTTTAATTTATATAGATAGAAACTGATAGACAGCAAGATATACAGCAGCTCGATGTAATAATCACAGAAAATTACGAAGATATACATATCACATGGCCGACCATACGTACATACTTTCTTTAGACTCAGATATGCCATAATTCTGCTTGGAAACAAAAATATTAAAAAAACACTTTCTAACATACTGGAGACACAAAATATGCTAAGATACATCATACATTAGCGGAGTACACTGACACTACTTTTCTATTATCAAGACATCCACCTTAATCATAATAGATAGTACTAGAAGCATTTGTAGTATTGTACAAAAGCCTTCAAGGGCGTATCCTAAGATTTATTGAAGCCCTGGCTATATGGAAACTGAAATTCCCTTTAGGTATTCACAAACAATTTGTTCTTACTCTTAGCCTACCCTGCTAATACTAATTTATTATTCAGAGTGGTTATCACATTTTTTGTGTACTTTATTTTTCTTTGTTACGGCTAACCTTTCATCGGTCTAGTTGACCTTTTAGTTTTTATATAAAAATATCTTAACAAGTATATATGTGATCACACTATTCGAAATGTATTACGCAAATATATCAAATAATTCTGATCAGTCAGCCAGTAACAACGTAGAACTTCGTACGTACGTACATCAGTTCGAGTTGCCACACCACATTAGCACAGAGATGCAGTGGTCGATTCAAATCCCGTAGTGGTAGAGGTAATAAGAGTATAAGCAGTAATCAGGAAATTTAGTGTTTGGAGATGTTGTTTAAAGAGTATAATACAGTGAAATAAATTTGAGAAGAGAAAAAAAAGAGACAAGGAGCAATAAGGAGATCAAAATTTGGGAGAACACAAAGAGTGGATGCACCTACGCCATTGCAAACGATTTTGAGCCATGTCATTCAGGGTCTCTAACCATCGGTTGCTATCATCTCGCGGTCCACAACAAGGTAGTCTACACCTACCAACATGACTCAGTCTGCTTGTCAGTGACTTCATGGACTTGTGCCATGTTTTGGTCTCGCCGCCCCCAGCTTTCTTCCAACCTACTCCTATACAACAAAACATCGCACGTCGAGGCACTCGGTCGTTCGGCATACGTAACACGTGTCCCAGCCATTTCAACTGATGAAGTTTCACCACTTCATCAATCGATTTGCCATCCTTACCTAGTACCCGTTTCCTAACAACTGCGTTACTTACTCGATAGTCCCAGAATATACGAGCAATATTTCGAAGACACCTATGGTCAAATACTAGTAACCTACGGATATTCTCTACTCTTGCCGGCCATGTTTCACTGCCATAAAGTAGGACGGAACGAACTGCTGCGCAGTAAACCCGTCCTTTGATTAATAGACGGATATCTCGCCTACGCCATAAATGACGCAAGTTGGCAAAAGCTAGTCGATCCTTCTGTATCCGTGCTGAGATTTCGTCACACACCAGACCACAAGGGCTGATGAGACTTCCAAGATAAGTGAGACGATCGACACACTCAATTACTTCACTCCCTATCATTAGTTCGGGTGTCAATGCGACCCAATCCTGAAGCAACATTTTGCATTTCGAGGGGGAGAATCGCATGCCGAACATGCTTGTATTGTTGCTCAGAGTGGTCAAAAGACTCTGCATTTTGTCAGAGTCTTCACCAAATAAAACTATGTTATCAGCATATTCTAAGTCAACAAGTGAACCTCCTGGTAGAAGTTCAACCCCTGTAAAGTCAGATGAGGAAAGTGTTATCTCTAAAAGTACGTCGACCACAAAGTTGAACAAGAATGGAGAGAGTGGGCAGCCCTGACGAACACCACTCGAGGTAATCAATTCTGATGACAGTTCGCCATAAGCTCTCACTCTACCAGTTGTGTTCGAGTAGAGTACTTCTTTGGTACTCCTTTCAGTGATAAACACTGCCATAGAACTTTACGATCAACAGAGTCGAATGCTGCTTTAAGGTCGAGAGATACTACAATTGTGGGGCGTCTGAATGTGTGTCTGTGTTCTAGAACCTGACGTAGTGTGAATATCTGATCTATACAACCACGTCCAGGTTGAAAACCAGCCCGATTTTCTCTAGTCTGCTCTTCACGAGCTTTGGTTAGGCGTCGAAGTATTATTGAAGCTAATATTTTAGATACTATATTTGTCAAACTGATTCCTCTGTGATTGTCACAAGAGGACTTTTGTCCTTTCTTATAGACTGGCACAATCAGTGATTGAGACCAGTCAGATGGGATTACGTCCAGTTCCCAAATTCTACCTAAGACCTCAGTCAATCTCACTGCTAATACTGGACCACTATCCTTAAAAATCTCAGGAGTAAATCTGTCAGGGCCTGCTGCTCTCCCTCGCTTCAGATTTCCTATGGCTTTTTCAACTTCGTAAAGAGACGGAGGACCTACATTAACTTGCTATTCAGGTTGACTGGAGATCGTGGAAAACCGAAGTGTGGCTGAAGGCCAGTTGAACTGATCCCTAAAGTGTTCTTCCCATCGATTTAATCTCCTGGATTGAGAATGTATAATATGTCCATCTTCCTCTGAGAGTGTTTCGCTAACAGTCGGTTTCCTAATACCGGTTTCCTTAACATGTCTGAACAATTGTCTGCTATTACTTATTGCCGCTGCCTTTTCCATCTCTCTTGCTTTCGCTACCCACCACTGTTCACGATCATTGCGTAGACTTCTTGTCAGCTTGCGTTTAAGCTGACTCCGCTCTTCATTATGTTCAGAGCCAGGTGGAATGAGTTTCCGAGCATCTATCAGTGCGATAGATGCTGCTGAGATCCAGTGTTACTCCTTAACCTTACGGGTTACCGTACTAGCAGATATCACTGCTGTTTCCACAGCTTTTCGGATGTCATGCCATGCTGTCTCGGGGTGGGCATCACATACATGGCTGCCTAACTATTTTCCTAGTTGTTCCTGAAATATACTCTTAGCTTGACTATCATTAAGTAGGGCCCTAAGAGGTTTACTTACAACGTCTTTCCTACGTCCAGTAAGACGCAGACAGATACGCACTCGTACTAGAGCATAATCTGAATCTAAGCATGTGCTCCAGAATGAGCGACAGTCTTCTGATAAACTTCGTCTTCTCATTGCATTATCGAAAAAGACAAATGAGATAAACGGAAGTCAATTAAAGACAACTTTGGCTCCCAAAGATATATCTGAGCTATCATGACAACAGTTATCATACATATCTCGAAGTGAAGGAGTTGAATGAAAACCCTGGCAAAGATAACATGTTCTATTAGCTTTTTTTAATTAACTTGCCAATACGAACCATTTTTTCTTAGAGCATAACACCAGAAGTGTGTTACAGCTGGAAAGCGAACACATGAAACAAGTTTCTTGGTGTTGAATGATATATTATGATGTAAAAATATACATCTAGAACTTCGCGCGGCAGTTAATAAGTAAATACAACCTATTGACTGAGAGGAAATTGCAGAGGATACATTGAAGTTCTTCAAAGTGAACCTCAATACTACTACACTCACAATTACTGAAACACTGTAATAGTGCTGCTTGATCTTGAGAGTCGTGAACCAGTGAACGTAACGCTTGTAAATGGTAATCTTACTTTAGCAATCAGTTACGACGACCAATGACACGTTTTGATTTTCTGCGGTTTTTGGAAGGTATTAAATCATCCAAATCCTCTTGCAATGACGATTTATCTGATGTTTTGTCAACTTCACTTAGAGAATAAGTTGGACATCTACAGACGAGTATGTAAAAACAGGAATCGAGTCTACTACTTGTAGCTTTCTAACTTTCTTTTCTTTTCATTCAGAACAGCTGAAAACTTCGAGAGCAGAACAATTTCTTTGTCATCTATCTGAGAAACCACTTCTTCATATTTCTGAAAACCATTAAGACATGGTACTTTTTACCTTTACGGATATATCAGCCAAAGACTTTAGCTTCTCGTTTTCTCTCTCGAAATTACTGCAGCATAAAATCGATTCTTTGAGACTATTGGTGATTAGACTCGTTAATTCGCAAAGTGATTCTAATGGATTATATGAAGGTTGTAAGTAAAAAGATCCGAAGATGATCTAGAATATCATTCAGAGTGTACGTTGATACTTTAATGCCTTTCTTAATTTCTTTGGACCATACGAAATTTAAATTCGCCCCTTCTTCTCTTAAATTAAAGTAGCTAGATGGGTCGGAAGAACTAAAAGACTCTGAGAGATTCTGTGTATATTGGTTACGCGTTTGCTTGACGAGGTCACAAAACTCATCAAGTTTCACACAATCAACTATCACTGGTCAAGACCAAAAATAATTAACGAACCTACTGCATGCCACAAGCCGTTTTTAATGGCTGTGATACAAATAGAGTTTTCTTGATGAACAAAGATAACTGTATAGCCATTAATCTTCGCATCCCCACAAAGCTTGATTTGCACCCCCACCATTCATAAGTAACACCGACCTTCAATCCTAAAGAATTGAGACAAACAAATAACTGGTGAGATGTTCCTTCATGTTTTACATTTCGGTAACGGAATTTCATATTATTCTGTCACTTGAACTGACGATAAATCATAAAGATAACTATTACTAGGTGGGCGAAAATAGAGTGCATCAACAGTATTCTTCGAAAGACATTACTACGTAAAATTATCTAAACAGTGAAGACAACAACATAAATTATTCAGAAATCTGCATTGTACCTCCAACGTAATGTTAGTTTACTTGGACTGGCTTTGAATGTGTTTGTAACAGCTTCCCTAAAATTAGACGTTTAATATTAATGATGACTGTTAGCTTTAAGGCACACCTTAATCATGATGAAGGAGAACTCAGGTACGGTAAACCAATTTGTCTTTCATTCAAAACCAAATGGTACTTACGTAAAATACGTTATTTAAAAATATTCCATCAGTTGTCCTAAACACACCTCATCATTCTTCCGATCCTGTTGTTATCCGGACTGCCTATGTTTGTCATCCTGTTTTCTTCAATTAAATCTTCTACCGGCAGGCATTCGACTTCCAATCGCTGCTTTATACAAAACATGTCTGACAGCATGAGAATCATACACCATCTTATCTCAAAATAACAGTTCAACGATCCTCGTCGTGGTCAGAAACAATCAACGCACATCAGTTTACTGCACGCCATGAACTGACCCTAGCGGTTGTGTTCACGCTCTGTTTCTTGTACCTACTTTTACTAATACGTTCTTATACTAATGTCGTTTGTGTCGTACGGTCATCGAAGCAGCCATAGTACTTAAATATGGCGAGAGGTCATTCCACGTTAGCACTGCCCCCGTGGTGTGACTGTGAGTTGGCTCGTTTGTCACACTCTTATCGTCCGCTTCGTGTAGGCTCCTAATTTAAAACGGATAACCTACGACAATGATCTACAGTAACATACTTTATTGATCCATAGATTTCTCATCCTATAGACGCTTTTAATTTTTCATTGGAAGACATCTGTGCAAATGTCTTTGTGTGAGGCATTTTCTTCCTTATGACCAGGACGATATTTTCGTCCAGCTTATGATCAATAGGTTCTTCTTACGCCTGGCAACACCAAGCTGTCTCCTCATTTTTTCCAGCTATTTTAATAGCTATCCACATTTTCCGAACAACCTATGTACCCATTTCGATCAAAGCGAAATAGTTTTTCTGGGTTAAGACTTTTCAACACGTAATCCAGAAGCTAAATGGATTATTCTACCAATTCTAGTTGACGACTTTATGGTGAGAATCTTCTTCGTGGTGTTGAGTTGCTAAGCACGTAAAAGTGTCCGAGTCTGATCATGGACTTCGGGATTTCTATGGCGGCTTGGGAGTTGTGCACCAAATGACTCGGTCAAGTTTGGAATGACCTCCTATCAATTCAGGGGCACTATATGGCCGTTTTCTACGGACTTCGTTATAAATGAGACAACATAAAATCGCCTATGTAGATGATCGAGCAATATTCTTTTCCACCAGCGAATAGGCAAAGAAGTTGGTTATGCGATAAAATGAATTAATATACAGAAGAGCTTTCAAATTTAAGAAATGGGTAACCGATTCGGAAGAAGTAAAAGCCTTTTTGCCTGATGTATATAAGGAAGAGTCTTCTATGGATATGGCAACAAGTTATAATACCACTTATGAAACTTATTGTGACATGTATATTCAATGATTTTTATGACAACAAAATAAAGATCACATTTTTTATTTGTTTGTCACACCTTATATGTAATCACATCTATATCCAATATCAATTGTTTCTCTGTATCAATGGTAAAGAAACGGACATAATTGTTCAGTTTTATATACGCACATTACCGTGATTGTTGAAAAATAAACTCTATATACGCTGTCTGGTCTTCTGCTTTATTAGCTCGTTTATTGAAGATTATCATAGGCCCTCTCACACTACGTTGGAGATTCGGCCCGGATTATTATTAAATAATACGTTGTGTGTCAGTTAGTTTATGTTGCGGTGTCTCGAGGAATTCAGAAGGGGATCTATGAACCCGATGAGAAGATGGAAGTTCATTATTTCAGTGATGTGTCTGAAATTTAGCATGGAGCAGTTGCCCACGGGTTAGTTATGTTCAGAAACCACCGTATTGTGTTTTGTTGTATACTTTTTGACGCACCGAACACCTGTCAAACATATCTTTGAACCTCTTCATTCCTTACTTCTGTTTCAGCTGATTTTGAGATCCTAGATTAAAGACATTGAAGACTGCAGTGCAGGTGATCTGTTTGAATTTTCTGGGTCCACTCTATAAATCACTAACGTTGTTGATCTCTGTCGAATGCTTGGTGGCCTACTCGAGTTAGACGGGACTGGTGTTATCGACAGCTAACGTAGAAGTCACGCCGTGCAGTCAGCACCTAACGTGGATTACTCCTTCGTCGTATCAAGGTATTATGGATCCTTTGAAGACCGTAAAACACAAAGTAAGTTATTAAGGAAATATATTAGTAAGAGAGAGTACAGAAAAGACAGTGAGACCACCACCACATGGGCCATGGCATACGATTAACTGTTACTTTTTGGCTGTCCTTGACTTTGACAGGGACTGATGACCTTTTTGACATTCAGTGACCCAACTACCGGATGACATTTCATTGGCCCCACAACTCGACTTGGAAGGGAAAGGTACAACTGTACGACCACTGGCCTTTCTTTAACTTATCCACTTGTATAACAACTGGTGAACTATAAGGAAATTGAACTTAGTAGTCATACCTTTATTTTTAAAACATAAATGACTTTAACTCACCAGTCATCAACCCTGTCTTTTCTGCTAACAGTTCTTTTATTTTTCTTTTCTTTTTTCAGAACCGTCGAGACGCACCACCTAAAACCCATCAATAAAACAGATAAAATCGTCCTACTTCTTTTATAATACCTACGATATTTCAGAAGGATTTATAACTATCTCTACAAGGAGCCTGTTAAATTCGCTATCTGGCAACAATATCAAGATACCTCAAGTAATACAATGAAGTTGAAGTTTCTGATCTACCGATTAGGCATTCAACGCATATTCATATATGGACAACTCTAGACTTTTCTTGGATTAAGTTCCAACCACCAGTTGTTCGTCACAATGCAGCTTCCATAATGAGAAACAACTTTTAGAATGAATACTTGAGTCTTAAGTGAATAGATTTATATTCGTGTTTCAATGACCACTGTATCTTTGATCATATCAGCCATAACGAGCAGCTTATTACGGTGAATCTTGTTGCATTTTTAACATATTGATATTACTATTAAACTGGCATGCACCACGTAATATATTGTCATCTGAAAATAAATTATTATTATCGAAAATTAACATGTACGAATCTTGTATGACATCCGTATACTATGCCTACTATGATGACTACATCGAATAAAGTCATATTATTAAGACTCGTATTGATAAGATCAGATAAATACAGAGTGAAAAAGCTGTTGCTCGGTTCAGTCCATGAAATCCAACTGACTTATCCAAGCTAATCGTTTGCGACCTATATGGTAATCAACCGGATGGCTAACTATCAGTGATATATAGTTTAACAAGTAAATGGTTTAACCGGTATTGTTTTGCCGGTATTTTAGGCTGGTGAGTCGATAAAACAAAGAAGCCAAAAATTCTTTTCCTCGGTAATGTTGATTCACCATTCCTTTCACACAAACTGAGTACAGTCATTTTTGTTTTATTCTAAGAGAGGTGTTCACCACCTTGTCGGCTCAATTGTCTGGTTGTACTCCCAATATAGCTTTCTCCACAGGAGCAGCTGAATTTGTAGATACAGATAAATGTGGCAGAACCATGTAACTTGTACCTTAGTTGTGGAATCACCATAGGTCGGGTCGAGAACGATGGACAGTGGTTAGCTGCATCAAACGTTCTCTTCACTGGTCTGATTAGTCTATCCTGTAGTACATCACCAGACATATCAGCGTTGGTTTGTAGCTTCAGGAAGATGGGTTTCCTACTAGCTGTGGACTTTGTTGTTTTCCTGTTTATTGCATGCAAACGTTTCCACAGAAAACCTTGTAAATAACATATTTCAGTCAACATTTTAGGGATAAGCTCTAGTTCCTTGTTAACAATGTCGTCTGAGCATATCTTTCAAGCTCTATTTGCAGGACATCTGATTAGGTTTCTCTTGTAATGAATGTATACACAGCTGATGAAATGTGTGTGCTGGCTTGCTGAAGAACTTTTCTTATACACATTTTTACTGATAGAACCACTTTCTTTTCTGTTCAACAAAACGTTGAGGAGATGTAGTTTGTGGTCGAGTTGCTCTTCACATGCAACTGTGATCGCATAACTTTTGTTGTTAAAAAGCACTAAGAGTTCTTTTTTCCTAATGTTCAGATCAACGATAATGAAAGTGTCAACAATGTAACAGTAATAAAAAGTTTATTAATTTTTTATATGCGTGTAAATTTTACTGTATCTTAGAGTAAAGCCTGACGAGGATTTAAATAAAAACGATATTGTTGGCTTGTGCATGTTGTTCCAATTATCAGTAACAGCACATCGCAGTCTCTGAAGCTATTAAAAGCATCCGTTGACTTTCCCGCGATGGTCATATAACGAAGTATACACAGAAGACCTCAGCAAGCTAATAAACCATCAAAGAACAAAATATATTTACTTACATGAGAAGTAATGTATCCCTAACGAATAAGGGAAGTTATTTTGCCACCTACCGTTTAAACGACTCAAGCACTAGAAATCAGACAGTCGATAATTTGAATAGACCTTGTACTACCGTATTATGAAACATTATGTAATTTAATAATTAGGGAACACGAATTTAGTTGCTTGTCGAGAGAAAAGTATTTCAAACAGGCAAATAACTCAATTCTATCATAAATAAATATCCACCCATGCAAAAAGGATTTCACATACGACAGTTTTTAATTTCTACTCTTTTTCACCTCCATGCCT